CATGGAAAAAACAGGACCTGTTGTGTTCGTGCGCCGCCCACGTCCCCAAGTGCCCACGTCCCCACGTGCCCACGTCGGGGCCGGCCAGCGCACCATCCCTTGACAATTTCGCCGCTCCGCTGGGCCTATCTGTAGAGCTGCCAACATAGCAGTGTCCACCAGCGCAGTGGTGTTGCTGCGGACCACCACCTTGGTGCGCAAGTTGAACCGATCTGTTTTCCGAGTGTTGTAGATGTGCTGTTGTTGAATATGAGTTGGATTGCGGATTGCAAATTGCAGCATCTGTACTAGGTGAAACATGGCGAAGCTGCAAAATGGCACAGCATCCCAAAGCTGTTTCACAGCATCCAGTGGGTGTGTATCAGTATGATAAGCCCAGGTAGCTGTATATATAGAACCAAACGGCTTTGTAGCTAGTGGAGCTTAGCAAAGTTCTTGTGATAACTGAACCTCCTGGATATACTTTGATGGGCAACCCCCCAACCATGTCTTGTTTACAGCTTTGAAAGGGCGACAACCGGACGACCCTCAGAAACCCACAAGAACCAAAGGTGTCTCAGATAGTTATTCAGAATGGTTGTAATTCTATTTCATTACGAGCATATCAACTTCATTGAACAGTGGCACGGTAGCTACTCCCCTACTGCTTCAATGAACCTCCAAATTGAAAGAAACAACACAAACAAATCAAATTCCATATGCCCTATACCGATATCTATACCCCAAAACGTTCTGTCAGCTCCAGTTTCCTTGGAGCTGATCTCTGATCCTCGCAGCACGTTCTCCCCAAACACCATGCCGGGAGGCCGATGAGGTGGCGTTCGCCACATAGAAGGCCTTCACTAAGACCTGAGCAGTCAAGTGAGAAAGGCCCAGCTTGTCGGGGGAGAACACATGGCGTGGACTTGGATGAAAACTATATGGGTATCTCAGGTATATCATGGTATGTATATCCTATTGCCAGTATGAGTGGATGATGATGTTACCATTATTAGAAAAGGACTTTCTCAAACCTTGTGATCATTGTTTACCGACTGTTACTGGTAATGGGACAAACCCTAACCATAGTTATTATATACTTTATTATCACAACCAAGATTTGCCCTTGTAATTCCTTCACTTTGCATGGCTCCCTCAAGCTACTGAAGAACTCTTACCAAAGAGGGCTCATTGGTGGCCTCAAGAGCTCTGAGCACTCCAGGTTTGTCTCAAACCCGGACCCTCCATATATGCCATATTTACCTACCTTGGGGTAGTTTCAGCAGTCGATAAGGCTTCTGGAAGCCATTCTGGGAGCTGCTCGTTGGGTTGCTTCCCCACAGATCTGACACTCCTTGAAGCCCCGAAAGCAGACCCAAACATCTTCGAAGGTGGGAAGGGACCTCTAAGTTACCAAGAGCTGCCTGGTCCAAAAAAAAACGTTCAGCTTCTGCAGCGGCTGCTAGACAGGGAACGAGGCTCTGCTTTTTGTTTGAAACCATTAACAAACCACTCCACACGCTCCCGGGTCGTTGGTGCAGCCCGCGGGTCGCACGTCCGCCCGTCCCGTCCCGTGTCGGAGCCCACCAGATCGGTCAAGGCCAGCATAGGGTAAGACGCCCAGGGCTGACCCGAGGTGCCGGGGCCTGCGGTTGGTCGCAGGTACTGAAGCGGTGAGACGAGCATGGGTGAACAGTTCGGCGAGCACCGAACAACTCCGACCAACTCTGTTGTTCCGTTGCTAGGGTCAATGACCTTGTCTATAGATATCAATATCAAATATATTCAACTATTCCATATCCGTCTGCTGCTTATCCACCCAAAGCACTGGACATTTGACTCCAAAGGTTCGCAACACATCTGAGTTGGTTGAACTAAGTTAATTGACACAAACCAAAAATGGAAGCCAATGTAAAGGACCCGTCCACAGCTCACAGGTGTCCGAAACAAATCAGGCACTTGCTGGAAAAAAAGAAACACTCTGGATACTATTTTGTACATATGCTGTCTCTCTCCCCGGGCAAATCAACTGAACTCAAGAAGACACATGTCGTAGCTATCACAAAACTACAATCCTTGGCACACGAGTTTGAAGGTACACCCTGCTGCACGGCCAACATATCCGTGTCTTCACTCTTGTTGGGGTTCAACCAATTTACCTCAAAGAATCGCCTTCTCATGCCTTGATTGCCTTCGGGAAAACTCAAACGCCGGACAGATGCCGAACCCCAAACAGCACCAAAAAGGAACCCCAAAAGCATCCGGTGCTTTCGCCTAAAAGGCCCAAGAGCTGCGCGTTGCGGTCCTGCGCGTGACGGTCGGCCCCGGTGTGTCCGCTACAGCCGACATGTTGACGGATCGGGTGCGGCACAAGGACGGGAAGCGAGTTGTGTGGGGTCTTTTTGGAGTTTGCAATTTGGATGACACGTTGATTCTTTTTTGGAAGTTGTGCTTGTGCCGACGAGATGACATGGGAGAGGACCGTCGGAAGTTGTTGGTCGGAAGTTCGGCCCGAAACAATCCAGCAAGGTCCCCCACTCAAGTTCAGCCATCGAGGGAACGGTTCTTGTGTAGCCGGCCAGTCTGGCTCACCTGAGAAGCAATGGGAAGTTCCATAGTAGTACACAAAAAAGTGGAAGGGAGGAAAGAGTGGGAGATAGACTGAGAGTCTCAACTTACTCTATCTATAGATCTTGAAAGCGTTGGCTTTTGGACAGATCTGAGTCATCTATCAAAGTATTCAGGGCATGATCTGGCTGAGATCAAACCTTGATAAATCTGCCAAACCAAAGCACTGCGGCTATGCACCACCTGGACATTGACTCTGTTATGCTCTAGTGACCACCCCATACCCCGCAGTCCAGCACGGTGTTCAAGACCTGCAAAGTCTGCCACAGCTCAGTCCTGAGCGCGAAGAAAGCTTGGTATAGGGTTCCTTCACACGGATTTGTTGGGAGAGACAGTTTCAACAGCTTGGACTTGGTGTGTGTCATGAGTCATGTCATGAATATGAGGATGTATAAGATACCCCTCTGTATAAGAAAGTTGCCTCAAGCTCCTGAATTTTATTATTTCGATAGCAAGGGCTATGTATAAGTTTAAGTTGCCGGAGAAAAAATAACGCTGTTTAGAGCAGAAAACCGGTGTCGCCCGGCGCCGGCGATGGCTGGTCAGGTCAGGTCTGCGACTGAGGAGCAAGGTGAGCAGCGGGAAGAGCGCATCCATGCATGCAAGCCTCAACATGTGGCGTTTGAGGCTTATCCGAACCAGTAACTGGATGAGACAGTTCCCAGTTTTTAAGCAGAGTTGTTCTTAGTGCTGAGCTTGGCTGCTGGGGGAGGATGTTTGAATTTGGACCTCTTACTCTACAACACAATGCAACATCAAAAGTACTTAAGAGACTCGCACTGGTTAACCACAATGACAACGCATGCATATTTATTAGGTCTATGGTTCCATTCTATTACCAGTAGCAGTGGATGATGATGGTTAGTAAAGGCCTTGTTCAAACATAGTGATCATAGTGTTAATTGTTTACTGACAGGTAATAGGACAGACCCAACTATCATATTCATTTGATGATACCTGCCGTGTCAGCTTTGCTCTCAAAATGAAACGTCGGACATCGCCATCTCTTGTGGCCTTCCATGCGTTCAATGCTTTGCTGCCAGCCTAGTGAGTGACCAAATGCTGCATGCAAACAGTCGATATGACCACAAGATCCACAAGGTTGCAAGCCACCCAAACGCCGGCTCCATTCATCCTCATGAAGCATCTTCTTGGGACCATTCACCCCGTTAACGCTTAGGCTCAGCGCCCGGCAAAGAGAGCATCGTGCTTCGCAGTCCAGTGCTCCCGCTGGAGAGACGCCTGGACAACTGGTTCATCGACCCGTTCGGCGACCCGTTGGGGTTCTAACCAACTGCTACATGTTGCTTCGGGTGATGTTGCTTCTGTCCAAAACCCCAGTTGTGAAGGTCCAAACCCTGACGCGAACTGAGGATCCGGACTCTGAGCCTTTGGGACATGTGGATCCCCCAGTGGTCGGGGAGTTTGACCAGCACTTCACACTGATTCCATTGTCAATGCCATTGTCGCCACCTGACGAACTTAGAAGGTGTCCTACAATTGCTTGGGAACCCAAAAGGAAAATGCTCCTTTTTGGAGGTGATCAAAGATTTATACTCTGGGTCCAAGAGAATCCATGAATATCCAGTTCCTCCACTATTTATATATAAACATGGATTAAAACACGCAAACACCCAACTTGACATACTTTTCAGACGACCCGTTGGACTGTCCAGGTCATCACTCTTGACAATTGAAAGTCATCGAAGTTGAGGGTTAGTTCTGGCGTGAACTCTGGAGGGCAAAATGTGGGATCCTTGGGAAGTTCCGCATTTCTAGGTAGGGACCTGGGATGCCCTAGAGAGCCTACTGGTTTGTTGAGTCAACATACAAATGCAAGGGACAATTCTGAGGTAAACATTCGGGCACTGGACCAAACATGCGGGCACTTGGCTTAGTTTCTTCCTAGACACCGCCGAACGTAGCTGACTTATCATTGATACATACATATATATATATATGTATATATAGTTACAGTTCAGTTGCCCAAGCTGGAATCTGTTAGTCCGTCCCTTCCAACGTCACGCAAAGAGAACACCGGGACTCCTTCCTTTTTCGGCACCAACCGCGGAGCACTCGGAGATCTTCCGTGCGCAGGCAGCACGCGCGGAGGCGCCCAACGTGCCGAAAAGGGCGACTGGGCGCCATTCATGGGGCCGTGAGTCAGGTTGTACCCCAAAGACCCAGCATGTTGAAATTCCCACCTTTAGCCGTTTGCAAATTCTGTCCAACGACCGTCACTTAAAAGAAACACAGTAACACTACCAACTCTATATGTCCTTGCTATACTCAGTCTTATGATCTCAGTTTCATGAATCGGTGTGAACATGAGATCCAAAAGAGATTCAAACAAGAACACCATGATACACCATGGGGAAAAAACAACTCGCAAGTACATTCAGTGGCATTGGGCCCACTCTACTGCCATCACGCAGAGCTCTCCTCCACTTGCTGCCGGCAAAGAGGACAGCTACCTGAACAGCGCATGCTTGCGCCCTGCAGCATCCAGCGGGCAATGCACTCAAAGTGGAAAAGATGACCTGAGGTCACTCGTCGAGTCGAAATACATAAAATACAGCACGCCTGCTTGGCATGCGCATGGAACCAAGACGTGTCGACTGAGATGTGAAGATGGGAACGAACCAAACACGTGAAACCAAAGACTTCACTTGTATCCAAAGACGTGTGATGTCTGACCGTTCTCTTCTATCAGGTACGTGGCGTCATGACGGGCATGGAAAATGGGTGCGAACGAAGTCCAGGTAGAAAGACAGAACCGTGGCAACGAAGAACAGAGTCCTTCTCTTCTCAAGTTGCTGGCAACTTGGAAAGCATCAATGCTTGTCACCTTTCTAACGTGTTTGATAGAGCACTCGGAATGGATTAAGATCGGTGGAGAGATGCAAAGGAACCCAACAGTTCATAATTACAAAACCTAATGATTTCAATGAAAAAACAGAACATAAATGGTTTTGTATTTGCAGAACACACGGCCGAGAAGCTGGTTGACCAGTTGAATATGACGGCCGAGATGCTCCAACAAGCCTTGCCTTTATACCAACTCTGACTGTCTCAGTGACCCCGTCCAGTACCTTATCAGGTCAGTTGAAGCCTACGGGTTTACGTTTCTTGACTATATAAAGGTGCAAACTCTTCTGAGACTCTCCTGGCTGCTGCCAGGTCGCTGCAAGGCAAAGAGGAGACAAGAGCACCAACCTCCTCAGAAGTGTCAAGGACTCTGAAAAAGCATCTGTCTTCCGTTTAGGGTGTCCTCAGTCTGGACAACCAAACTGATGTTCTGTAGGATTCGGATAGTCAAATCATGTCAAATCTATTGTGGATTCGGATCAAATGGATGGCTCACTTCTTCTGTTATGTCTGAAGTGGTGACCTTCGAATGGTTGCTTGAAAACCATCTCGAAAGGTAGCTGGCCCTGCAAACCAGGCGCCTTCAGAATTTGTGCCTCGCAGTGGCCATTGTGTGTTGTTTATGTTCTATTCACACGCACTGTTCATTTTGGCTGACAAAGACATGTGACACCCACAAATCTCGCACACAGATACACAATATGAGATCCTGAGATCCTCTGCGATGTCCGAAAGTGATGCGGAGTAGGGGCAACAAAAACTGCACCATGTGGATATCATCATCAAAACACCTGGGAGTTATGGATGCCAAACATATGGTGACCTCAGATCCATCTGACTTCACGAGGTCCATAAAACCAAATTGCCATGTCCACATATTGTTTCACCAAGTCCATAAAGGATCCATGTGCGGCACACATATTTATATATACACAGAACCTGACTGACCACTATTTTGGACCACCATGGACCACCAACCACCCAAAATATGGCCCAACTTCCTATCAAAACAGGGGTCATCAGGGGTCAGTTGAGTTCCAGGTATATATATATATACCTAGAACCTGAGTGACCTCTATTTTGGACCACCAACCACCTAAAATATGGTCTTTTCCTATCAAAACAGAGGTCAAATGGGTTCTAGGTATATGGACCTTTTTCTTCACCTGACACCGGGCGACATCGACTCGCCGTGTAGATGGAGTGCCAATGAGAAATCCCCACAGCGTAGGTGATGCTTTTCTTGAAAGAACATAGTGTGATGCATCACGCAGCAAATGTTTTTTTGTTTAAACAAATGCGTGAGACATGTGTAAAAACTCTTATTGTTTAATACAGTGGAACGGAACTGACACAATTCCAGAACTGAATCATACTCAGTTGGCCACCAAGTTGGCCAGGCAAATGGCACACTCAGCGCTGGATCCCTCGAGCGAACCGGTTCGGATGGGGAGACGGATGGGGTTGGAACATCCGATGCCACTTGCCACGACATGAGCCGCGACACGAGTAGGAGAGTGGATTGAGAGTGCCCACAAACCGAACAGCCAAAATATGGCATAACAAAAACACACAAAAACGACACTCAGTGCAGTTGAAGCCATCTAAAATCAGAGATGTATGATGATGTATGATACAAACGCCTCGGGCTTGGGTTCTCCAGAAATCGCTTTTCAGTGCTGGCTCAATGTACACAAGAGACTTCTCAGAAGAAGATGTTGGTTCCGGTTCCAACGTTTTCTTAGGACAGATCTCATGTGACTTCGTGTCAACGATAGAATCCACTCGGAGGCTCGCAGCCGGCCTCTTTGGGTAGCCACTCGGAGGCTCGCAAGTGCGGCGCCCGCACCTGTGAAGGATGCGCATGAGGTGGGCGCACTGTGAAGGATGCGTTTGCTGAGAGGCAAGAAGCACAGAAACACTGCCAAGACGAGGTTGAACAACCCTACAGTCGCCCATCCCATATCTATCACTAGAGGTCCTAGTTCAGGTCTCTCAACCCCTCTTGGTGGACATGGTGCAAAATGCTACGTGCGTGGGATTCGGCCTGAAAGGGTTCAGAGTTAAGACCCAAACGTGGTGCGACATCCTGAAAGGGTTCAGAGTTAAGACCCAAACGTGGTGCGACATGACATGAGTGTCTCAAAACAAATCAACGGCAAGTCATCCGTTTTCGTCAATGGGTGCAGTTCAAAGGTCTTGAAGGTTTCTGTATGACTTTTAAAGATCTATGAGACGCGGTGCACTCGGTAGCAAAGGAGAACTCGTCCACGGCACATATGTGTCGGCCACATGAAGGAGGTCGGGTTACAGGGGAGAGACGACTCGGTTGATATCGCGGCAGCATGGAGCCGAGAGGGAGGCCAGAAACAAACTTCATGCGGTTTAGGAAGAGAGTAAAAGGAGTAATAGGACGGCCATGGGGACCATAGATGGCCATAGGACGAGGGATTCTTACACCTTCAAGGGTTGGATGGATTCATAGGCTCACAACAGATTGAGAAGACCAATGGACCAAACGACCAATCAGAATGGGTTTCAGGGGTTTTCGGATGGGATGATCTCTGGAACATGGCGAAGGAGGATGAGAGCTGGGTCCAATAAATAGGAAAGATACTGTATTAGCAGCTATTAGCAAGCATCCCCCGAGAAGAGCACCGAACGGTTGGCATCCCACAATCACAAACGCAAACGAATCCCCCTGAGCAATCTAAAGGTCAATGAAAAAGACATAGGCTTTGTTGACGCTGCAAACAGCTGTTTGGACCAGCCAGTATCCTACCTGCACCAAAATATTCAGTTGTGGATTCTTTAACATGATTAAAATAACACACAGACAAAAACAATCTATATATATATATACAATATAATCGAAAACAACGACCCTTAAAGGGATGCCCCCTGGGCTGTTCCGGACTTCTCCATTGAATCCGAGACTGCGGCCTGAGCTCGTGCCTGCCGCCCCTGCTCCAGGATCCGCGAATAGTCCTCGGATCCGCGGAGAGTGCACTGGTCCACGACTGGTGCACGAGGTCGAAGATAACGACTAGTGCACTGGTAACCTGGAACATGGATGAGCATGAGACATCCACGACAGCAGGTCTTTCTCTGATCATGTTCAGGTGCTTCTTGGAGCAATGTACATAGTAAAGTCAGACACCTCATCTGAACAACATGGATACATGAACTCCATATGGAACATCTGAGAACAACATGTTGCAGGTCGTGAACCCGGAAAGAACGTCTCACAAGATAGAAACTCGATTAGCCAAGTGGAACACGTGCTTCAGTTCTTATATATAATCTAACCTTTCACCCCCCCGGCCACAAGAAAGAACAAACGATTTCACCTCTCTTGATCTCTTGAGGTTCAACAAATCCCCACAGGCAATCTTTTTGGAACATCTACACTGCAACAATTCTACCAGGACCATTCCTGCCAGGTCTCCCACTACCCAAAAACCACCACAAACAGGATACTCCTACCAGGACCCTCCAAGGGGTGCCCTGTCTGGAAGCCTATAGGTAGTGTGGGGAAGTCCATTGGACACCCCTTGGAGGGTCCTGGTAGAAGCAAACCTTCGAACACCTCTGGCTCTTCCCACCTCCCGCGGCAGGAGTTGCTTTGCCACACGACACCGCGCCCACCGGCGGTGCTAAGGCCGTGCTAAGGCCGTGTGTCGTTGCGCATGGATTGCCAGAACCCAACTCCAGGCCTCAGCGTTTCCTGGATTAGAAACAAGTGCCTCGCTAGTAGTAACAAGTGCCTTACTAGTAGTAACAAGAAGCTATTAGAAACAAGTGCCTCGCTAGTACTTGACCATTTGGATATCATGTTGAAAAGGGGGATGGCCTTCAGGCCGAGCCAGTGGCCAAGACGTTTTTGTAAAAATCTGACTTTTGGGTGGAAGGGACGTCTTAAAGTGGGAAGATTCTGCTTGGGGCACGAGTCTTACTTCTCACAATCTGTCAAATTTCATGCACTCTCAGAATTGCACAGGAAAAAAACACTTCTGACATCTTCTGACCCACTCCAAATCGCAACCAAAGACTTGACACGTATGTGTGGCTGTGGGCGCAAGTGAAGAGCCGTGGGGAGGAGAAATGTTGAGAATACAATTCCTGCACATCGCCGGGAGCTTTGGTGGTGCCTTCATTTATGAAGAATAACTCAAGGATCTTTGGAGGTGCAACATCGTTGTGGCCACTGATTCATCTTCATCACCCCAAAAATCCCCCAAATGCTCCATGTGGGTAATGACCTCCATTCACCCCCCAAACCCATGTGCTTGATTTGCTTCGATACGCATGTTTGGGACCATCTACGTACACACCTGGTCCACACATTTTAAAACCAGATGATACTCGGAAGCTACCGACCATATGTTGCAATGAATTATTGAACATGACGGCTGTTGGCATTGTACAAATCTACCCGACACTCCCTGGACATCTACAACGCCTACAAGCATCTCCAAATCCCAGACACTCCACGGGTGGTTTGTGTGTCTAGATTGACACCCCATTTTGTTAGGTCAATACAGCAAACACCTTAGCAAACACGAAACATCGATGCTTTCCCCATCAACTTACCCAGGCACTGGCTGCTCCGTGCGCCCACGGTCGTTTCCTCCTCCTCGTCGCTGGGCGGTCGCTGCGGCGTGGTGCTCCGTGCGGCAAAGCTGTGGGAGACCAACTCAGGGCTGTGTCGTGGGCGTCCCGGCCACCTGACTGGTGCGAGATCCATGGGAGACCTGGGGGATGGGGGAAAAGAAACTGCATCAAAGACACCCAAATAGATGGAGAAGTTATGACAAGTAGATCCCCACTCTAATCATGTATCTATTTGAGGACCACTATAATACAGTAGATATTGAAGGCAAACATTAAAAACCTGCCGCCTGCCCTAAGCCGTGATGTTGTTCCATCTGATATGTCGCGCACATAGCGGTTGGTGGTTTAAATGAGAGTCATTGGGACCAACCATGCCAGGCAAAGGCGAAAATCGAGATCAACAACCAGTTGTCTATCCCCTCTGCTGTTCGTCTCACCCTTCACAGAAGGCCCAATCGATTCATTCGGAGTCCGGAGAACGAACAGATCTCGGTCAACATGGGCCCCAAGGACCCGACCCCACGTCGCCACGTGTGGTTTTGGCGGTTTGGCTAGCAGCATACCAAGTGATGTGGCCAACCGGCATGGTGTTAACTGGCTTGGAGTACTTCACTGGAAGTCTTTGTCCCTAAACCTGCATGTCGGAAACCAACACTTGCGCCAAAACAATATCTCTCGGAAGATATATTTGGAACGCAGCTTCTATCTAGTCTGGGACCATCTATCTACCCAAATCTATTCGAGCCTTTTGATGATGTACACATCTGCGAAACGCCATGTTGGGACTGGACTCGCAGATCCTTCCCAGCGCCCAACCAGTTCGATCTGCAGCTCAGAGACAGGTTGGGGCACGGCATCTGCGCCCAGGAATCCACCAAGGCCGCATCGGCCGCCAGTTCATGTGGTGCTACCACCTTCTGCGAGGCATCTGCGAGACGATCAAACCATCCTCGCACTTTATATAGGATGAACAAAATCAGCAGTTGAAAGAAATGTAACATATTATACTGTATTGCATAATGCATCCAAAGTCTCATATGATGGATGTTTTTTTTTTGTTTACCAATGTCAACGCATAATATCACACAGGACAACGGCTCAAAGGTCCAATGGACGGCATCATGTGGCATCCTAGTCTGGACGGCAGTGGATCTTCACCGTCCCGTTCTGCAAAATTGATGTGTTCCTTGTTTACTGGTCCTATTCTTTGCATGCAAATTCATGCAATTCATGTCTTCAATGACTGTCATTGAAGCCTTCGAACAACAAACATGGAGTACCTTCAAGTCATTGCAAGTCCAAACAATTCACATGATGGAGCGCTCCTTCCAACGGTCCTCACGGATGGAGTTATGGAAGGCGAACTCCGTCGTTGGCCCCAAAATCGCGACCGGTCTGGGACTGCAAACCAAGAGAGGTGGAACGTGACCGTCAATAGGACCCGTAACCTGGAGTACCTATGGGATAGTCTATAGAGTCTATAGAGTCCTTCAACCTCTGTTGGAATCGATGGCGGCCCTCAGGGCGCCACGCCCACGCCTCGTGGCGCGGTCCAGTACTCCGCGCCCGGGACGGCCAGGGCTCGCCATCTGCGACGGGTGAAGAATCCACGGTTTGCGGAGCTCTTTGGTTTGTGGGGGCATCAAGTAGAGACATGTTGATAAAAGCAACGCCGCATGATGGAGAGACCTTTTACCATCTAGTGAGGTATGGGTGGGTTGATGAATCAACGAATCAACAATCAACATGATTTGATTCCCCAAAAAAGGATAAAAAAACAGAACGGCAGGCCCTGGAAGTGCACTTTTTCACCTATTTTGAGTGATGTGGAGGTGATTTTTTTAGTAAATTTCAAGGATCTACTGAGATTAATTCACAGCACCAGTACTGCCAAGGACATCTCAACTGCTGTACTCTGAAAAAATGCATAGGACTTGGACAACAAAAAAAACAATCGTAGAAGATTCTTTGGTGAGTAAACCAAAAAGAAAAGAAAACAATCCTGACAGAGGCTTTGGACACCCCCCCCCAGCCCAAGACCTCCCAGCAATTGGTTTTTTGTTGTTTTTGGTTTACTCACCAAAGAGTCTTCTAGGATTGTGTGTGTGTTTTTTTTGTGGTTTTTGGAAACCCACCCCAAGGCAAGACTTCTGAAGAGTTGGTTATTTGTGTTTCTGTTATTTTGTGTTTTGGCATCTCTATTTTTTCATCACATTCATCAAACATTTTCTTACAAATAGGGCACCTTGTAGCATTTTTGAATTATATTTATGTTTCTTCACTAATAACCATTGGTTTATTAACATTCATTTGTTCAATGATATCAGATTTGATATTACCCAATTGTTCTATAAATCTATCAATACAATCCTCACCCCTATACAGATAAGGTGTGGATATATTCAATGAGTTTATACTTAAAGATTTATTAATGTGTAATATTAATCGATCTAAGGAATTCTTGGGTACCTATTTAAAGAAATATTGGTATTAATATTCAATGAGTATGCTTGGGGAAATACTTGTGTTAAACCAAAACTAGCAAATGAAGGCAGACATGTCAGATAACCTAGTAGAGCTCAAAAATTGGTGAAAGAGTGCACTTCCACAGCCTGCCGGACTCAAAAAAGACGGGGTGAGGTAGAAAACCAGAATTTGTGGGGTGATTGGTGTTTGTCTCTGAACAATTCAGTGACTCCTACTGGAGGCAAACTATTTGTAACGGAAGGGAAAAGCGTCCAATAGGTCCGAGCCACATGTCACTGGATTGGACACGTCACATGCGTAAACAATGCGTCAACTTGATGATCATTAGTATGGTATGTATATACGGGTATTCCGGTTGAAAAACTGATACCGATGGGTGCTTCCAGTGGCTTCCAGAGGCCAATGACCGACGCTTGAGGCTTTAGGACCAATCCTGAAAGGGACGCTGATTTCCAATTTCCAAAGCCTTGTTTTTTCCCCGAGCAGTGTGGTAACACTACGGGGTCTTACGGTAGTAGTTAAGGATGGGTATCTGATCGAGGTGCTCACATCCGCCGGCTAAGTCGCTACATTGATACATTCATTCACCTCGAGATCTTTGAAGTGCATTTCGACTGTGCAGGCTCGCAGAATCTGGTGGGCGCGGTTGGGTGCGAGACTGGGCTCTCGTTGTGGTGCTTTGCACATTTTCGGGCTTGGTGACCACTTTTCGTGGCAGGTGCAAGGGAACCCTGTTTTTTGGTCCAAGGTCGGCTTTTCGTGACAGGCGCAGGACATCGCTTTACTAACATGTCCTTTCATGTGTGCACTATGACCACCTTCACCACCACCATTACCACCTTCATCACCACCATCACCACCACCATCATCACTACCATCATCACCACCACCAGCCAGCACCACCACCACCACCATCACCACGATCATCACCACCTTCATCGCCACGACCATCACCATCATCACCACGATCTCCACTTTCATCACCACCATCACCTCTCTCTGGAGCCCAATGCGTCTAGATGCGTCTAGATCTCTAGACCTTCTGCTTCTACACTTACCTCTAGACCTTAGACAGGTAAACACATTGTTTGGGGTCTCTTGCCGGGATAATTTGGAGGTTGTTTGGAGGTGTTTCTGGTGGAATGATCTTTTGTGAGGGGAGAGGCATCAATCCGATCTGATTCTTGAAACTCCATGCCACATGAGATGATGAAGGAAGATTTCAATATATGAGGTCAGGAATAATATATGGCCAAATCTAAGTGTTATATTGCCCTTCTAAAAGCCCTATGAACCCTGGCTCTGAAAAGCTAAGATCATGGAAAATAAGCAGGTCACAGGGCTACACATGGAGTGGATGTAAATGAACATGAGATCATCCCAACACCTCTGCTTTCCCTTCGCTGACCCCTGAGTACCAAGAGACATGAACATGACGAACTGAGCCATTCAGAACGCCCCAGTCATGCTCCGTCGTTGTCACTGGATTCAGGGCCACTCTTCCACCGAGCTCACTACATCGATCGGGCCCATCATATGCACCTCACTACCCCCTCTCCTCGGGCGCGAGGAGAGCCCGGCCCGAGTCCTTGACATGACATCCAAGACGCTCGGCACAAAGGTCATCTGACAGAACAGGCGAACAGGCTTCAGCTCTGCTCATGGCCCATGGCTCCCACGCGTTGGCTGGCACGTGTTTCAGCAGTTGAGACTAGGACTGGTCTGAAGCCGGGGCATTTGTATTGGAGTGCAGTCCGATGGTCTGCAAACAGCCTAGACTTGTTCATCTGTCGCATCTGTTGGGACATGGTCGGGTTCGCAACTTCATCGAGGGGAGTCGGGACAAAAGCATCCAAGTGTGTTGCAGAAAGCTACCTGGACAGGTCATGGTGTTAAGTACTGGTTGTCCAGTGGAAAGCCAAAGTAAGTATAGGGATCACAAAGTACACATGATTGATCTTTTGTGGCTTGACACTCAAGGATCTTCTACAATCTCTCGTCTTGTTGCCCATTCGCCTGCCTTTCAACAATAGCATAGGATCAGCTTCTTCTGAGGGGTTTCTCGAAGCATAGATCTACTCAATACCATAGACACCTATAGACTATAGATTAGCTAGTCTAATTATTATTCTATTCATGTCTATTCTAAGTCGACCTCAAACCTGTTCACGCCTTGAACGTGATTCATCATTCTTCTGCATTCTCATGCTGAGATTGCTCTGAGGCTCCTGTCATCTCCTGTCTGCGACTTGTCTCCGCTTTCCGTCGTTTCTTCGCTTGGAAGGTCTGACGAGATTTACCACCGAGCAACGTTGCTCTGGGAATTGGATGCAACAAAAACTACATTGACCTGAGTGCATTCACCCACAAATGAGGCGAGTGGAGGTGAAAACGTGTGTTCCACAAGAAACATCCACCACCATTGAAGCATGTCGAGCCAATAGACATTGATATTGGGCAAAACCAAACCAAAGCAACACCTTGGACAAACAGGTCTATCCCAACAATCCACCAGGTCCAACAATCCACCTGACCTGGGTGTCTTTCCAGGCATCCATAACAAATAAACAAACATAGTGTAGATGTTTCATTAATACACGCGCGCTTCGGACGATTGAATGAATGGACTCAACTTGCGGTTAATGACCCCCCCGTATGACCATATGAAGTGGTTGGCGCTTGATGCAGAGAGTCCGCAAGCACGTGTCCCACATGAAGTGGTTTTACAAACCTAATGGGGGGATTACTGCAATATGTAAAAACCAATCAGGTCAAACTACCCTCTTCCTCTAATAATCGTGAAAATGGACACGAAATGGACAACCCCCCTCTTTGTAAAGGATTTCCTGGTCTTTGGCATCTTTGGGGGCCATGTCCACTTTTGAATTTGTTTATTTATAAAGAATGTTGGAGGCTATGCTATACGTCTTCTTTTCGGCGCAACACGCAGGCTACAGGCTGCGGCATGAGAACCGACTCCAGACCGACTTCGACCTGTTCAGGCTCACGAACCAACCGTTCTCCGGTCTCGCCCTCGTGTCTCCGGTCGTGATCTCGGCCTCGCGGTGTCTGTGAACTCGCTGGCGGGCAGCAACAGCACCGCATCCTGCACGCCCTGGCGGAACCCGCACGGAGGATACAGAGGGGCAGGCGGAACGAACGATGGAACAGGCGGGTCCGCAGCAGGGGACGTGACGTTACGAGCTTCCAGCCTGTCAAGGCAGCCTCACCCAACCAGATTTAGATGTATGGCAAAATAACCAATTGAAATCTATACTGCGCCCGTCATCCTGGGTCAACTCTTGGGTCGCCCTTGCGGCACACTTGGGACTTGGGAAGGCTTGGCCACTTGAAGTCGCTTCCTTCTTCCGTCCACCCGTCCGTAGAGTCCAGAGGAGCGCTCCGTTGCGGCGATGCTTCTTGAGCGTCTGGGTGCCGCATGTCCCCATACAACAACCAACTCTATCCCAGTGCATCCCAGTTACCACTATACAGTCTTTGGAACCACTGGTTACCAGCCATAGTGGTAACTGGATGCCCTGGCTATAATATAATACTGAACCACCTGTCTCTCGAATTCCGAAATCGAGGCAGCGGCAGCCCATCGATTCTCACCTCACAAACTTCTGTGTACAGCTGTCGCAGAGCACTTTCCTTGGGAAGACAGTGCCCACCGTGTTGTGGGCTGGGAAGCCGCTTCTTGGATTGGTTTGGCACCAAGAGAAGCAGGGTCTTCTTCGAATCTTCTTGGAACACTCCAAGTGTTTTTGTTTTTGTTGGTAGCCCCCAAATTGAGGCACAAAGGTAAAGAGCATATGATGAATTTTATTGAAGCAAACCGACTGTCAAACATGCCGAATCTACGGGAATAGTATGATGAGGTTCTCAATGTTCACCTTTGCCGTCCAGTGCAGTTCCTCTTTACAAACTCTCTCAACCAGGCAACAAACATCATCAAACAAACAGTCCAAAGGTAAAAAGAACAGTGAAACATATTTATGACGTGAATTGTATTGCTGTTCTAATTTACAATAAGTTGTTTTCCATTTTCCCATACCATTAAATCGCCAATGAAACACATAATGATTATCGTTTTGGCTCTCTTATTTGTTTCTTAATTAACTGGTGATCTCAATAGAACACACATGATGAAACGTGCTTTCGGTGTTTCATCATCTCCAAATCAAATGACCTCCGCTACAGACCGGAGACTTCACAACCCACAACCTCAGCTCATTTGTCATGGAAACGCCACATATCAACTCCATGCAACTCCCGACCGCTAGAATCGAAGATTGGACAAATGCAAGCTCAACGAGGCCTTGTTCATTTCACCTGCGAATCAACATCTTGATCTTTGACATGGTGTTTCATGGTGTTTCCTCGCCAAACTGCATCAAAATCGTGAACCCCTTTTCTGGTTGAAACATGTTGAACCTGTGGTTTTGGGATGGTTTTGGAAATATGGTCGCCTCTGGGCTAACACCTGGGAAATCGGCGCTTGCCAGGAGTCGGTCTTGGTGGCAGTGTCTCCATCCAAGTTGGCTGCCTTCGGAAACCTCAAGCGACGGCGGTTTCGGCGCGGGGGGTCCCACAGGCGTGTGGGGGCAGTCAGGCTGTGGATGCAAGTGATGGGGTGTGGGGTGTGATGTCACTCCCCAAACCAATATGCCATTGGGGTTGCTGCGGGTTGCTGGTTCAACATCATGTACTACCAGCTGGCAAGCTGACTTTGCTGAAAATCATTGGAGTCATGCACAAATTTGCTACAAACAAATGCAACAATTTACCATCAATTCTGATGGAAGGACATGAACGTCAATTCTGGTCTTTGCAAATCCGCCGGCCTGCCGGCGTGTTTTGTGGATTGTCTTGGTTAGTATAGCTTGTTTTGGCTTCAGCTTAAGGTTTGTCTCTCCGCGCGGATTTTTCGACAGCCTGACGCCCCCCCCCCCCTCCCATGTTGAGGTGCCCCTACTTTTAGTAATGAAAATCATCTTCCCAACTCATTTTTCGTCTTTTAATGTTGAGGCGCTCGTACTTAAGTTACATTCGTTCTAAGTGAATGGAAATTCAAGTTGGGTGAATG